CGAAGGCGAATAAAAGGTGACAATTATTTTCAGCTAGATATGGTTTATGGGAGGCTTAGAAACAAAATTACACAGGATGATAGCGAATTACAGGTGTATAGAAAATGAGCATGGAGACAAAAATTGAAATAATAATTTTAACTTGAAATGAAAGTTAGGAGGTATGAATATAGATTACAAGAGCCTTAGAAACAAAAATTGCCCAGGATTAAGATATAATTGTGCGTCGGTAGTATAGCGGTTAGGACGCTCGCCGACCATGCACATGGTCCGGTGTTTGATGCCCGGCCGAAGTACTCCTTTACCTTGCTAAACCAAAAATAATGCTGGTGAAGAGGGAAGGTTGGGCATGAGGCTAGCAACCCCATCCTGTAAAATAAACACTGCTACAGAAACTTCAAGCCGCTGGCTTGAAGCCCTATGTTCCACTGAGGAACGTGAAGGAATATGTATATATATATATATGAGATATAATTGTAAAATATTTATTTTAAACGAATTATAAATGTGATCAGGAAAAGCATAGAAACAAACTTAAAATAACTGGGTTTTCTTGACTGAGAAAATGGGATGAATCGGATGAAGACAGAGCGAGTAAGAATCACACACACAGCGAACGAAAACAAGAACGAAAGAGAAAAAACGGAGGCTAAGGGAACATACAGAACTAGGTCCATGGTAGTTGTAGAGGTTGAACTAGTTTCTTTTGAACACACAGCTCCGGCTTTTCGATGCATATTGCGAGGGCTTTTGCAGTACAGAGAAGTCGGAAACATATTGCTTTTGGGAGGTGTTGATCAGATGTTCAATAATGGCACTTCTGATTGAACCGGCGCCTGCTCTTTGCAGCCATGCTGGGTAATGTTCTCTAACACGTTTTGAAAGGACGCGCATACAACGACCTATGTATCTAGCTTTGCACGAACAGGTGAACTGGTATATGCACATTGAATTGGTCATATGCGAGAGTTTGTCATTCTTAGTGTTGTTTCAAAGTATTGGACGGCTAGAGAATTTCACTCTTAGTGTTGCTCCAGGGGAGGTCTTCTTTAAAGAGCTGGATATTCTCCTCTTCAGGATATCGGCTGCCAAATCCCCCCTCCCTGAAATTCAGATTCAGCGTTCTCTTTTGTGTTCTCTCTTTGGAAATAATTAGTAAATGTTGTGTCCTAAACTAGCGGTAAAGAGACGCAAACTTGCACTGTGAAAGTGGTATAATACCAGCCTATTATGATTAAGGGTATTATGCATGTAATCGGAGTATATTCTTCTATATTTCATCATTGTTGTGTCAGGATTTCATATCTTATAATTAAGTGCATTCAATGCATTGGTTTGTGGTAATTAAGTGCACTTTATATTTTAATATATTAAGGTTTATAATATTACCTAGTAGTAGTAGTAGGTCGCCATGTAAGTGATTCAAGATTTGAACCAAAAGAGATTTGAAGTTTTGTGCTCAAGCGAATGAATCACAAATTTACAACTGATTCGCCTCTCCGAGTACACCGAATAAAAGCTGGCTTCAAAACTAACGAAATACTTGTTCGATGTCTTCATCACATGAGTGGCTACCAACTACTCATGTCAGTCATTAAGTAGTATGTGACACCATAAAATTATATTCACTTTCTAGAGTCCCAAACGGAATATAACTTGCGTCGTGTATTCCATTGTTAGTTGCCATTAACCAAATAACGCGCGAATTTACCACTCTTTTTAAAGCAAGCTGCGTATGGAAGTATATCATGTGATTGCGTCTTTATGGTCGGTTAGATAACGTGCTCAAGGGAATATATAAAGATCAATCTGCTCACTACTTTCTTAGTCACATAACTCTGCGCCTACTTTCGAAAATGAAGTGGATTCACTGACGTGATCAAAGTAGAATTTAGCATTACTGTTTATAGGGTTCAAAATGCTCTATCTCACAGCTTTACATTGAGTTAAAGCAAGCGCCCTATTCAGGTAGGTAGTTACCTGGGGTTCTATTGGGAAGTCGTGACCAGTAGGGTGCAGCAGGTTGGGTGTGACGATAAATACTCGCCGAAGACATTGGCTAGGGGTCGCGCTATATCGTGAATGGGTAGAAGTTAGAATTCACTGGGCATTGGATCGGGTCCCAGTGGCTTAATGGTATACGAGCTCGCCTTGTAACCAGAAGGTCCTAGGTTCGAACCCTGGTGGGCGCGTACTGATGAAGAGTCCCAAACTAGGACGAAACAGCTATCCAGTATTCCCTACTGGTTTTCCAATGGTTCTCTAACTAAGGTTAGCTCATGATGAATTCCTGTAACCAAGTAAAATTGTTTTCTAAACTTGACACCGCATACTTTACTTTTCTATGAAGAAATATATGCATTTACAAGATAAACGATAATTAGACGAAATTCAGTGAAAATTTTCAAAAAGATTGAATACCTCTGCATCATTTAAAACAGCTTTGAGATATGTCACAAACACACTCAAAAACAATGATTTTTATTTATTCTTGAGATTATCATAAATGTTCATGAAAGAAGTACAAATACATGAGTCATATACTCCTGATTTAACTTACATGAGTAGTCAATGTGTAACTATTCATATCAGAGATTAGTGTATACACAGTCATTCTTTAACTTGAATAAATTCACACATTTTTACTACTCAGCTACTTTTGTGGATGTTTTTTTTTCATTTCGAGTGGAACATATGCCTTCAGCCTTTGAGCTTTAAAGTTCATATGTCTTCGGAGTAAGCAAGAATCGGAAAGGCAAGACAAGCTTTCACTACTCTCAAGTCTGTGTGGAGGTCAACAGCACTCAGCATGGAAAATAAGATCCGAATTTCCAACTCCAATGTGAAGTCAGTGCTACTATACGGATCAGAGACTTGGCCAGCGCCTCATAAAAAGCATCTCAAACAAACTACAGACCTTCATTAACAGTTGTCTTCGCTAAATACTCAAGATCAGATGGCCAGCCAGGAAAGATCAGCAACAGAGAGGGATCTCTGGGAGCGAACCAACCCAGCAGGAACCGATTGTGAAACAAATAAGCAGGAAGAAATGGAGATGGATTGGCCATACTCTAAGGAAAGCGCCAAGTGACATCACTAGACAAGCCATCGCTCGAGTGGAACCCGCAAGAGAAGTGGCGAGTTGGTCGTCAGTGCAAGGGTGACTTGGAGGAGGTCATGTGAAGAGGAGATGAAAACGTGTGGGCAGACTTGGAGTCAGGTGAAGACTCTAGCAGAGAATCGAACGCAATTGAGACGCACGGATGAAGCCCAATGTTCCTCTAGGAATTAAAGGAAACAATAATAATAATGTCTTTGGGGTTGCTAACCTTATATCCAACCTTTCTCCCTCTCCCCAACTAACTACCTCTTTTCTGAGCTTACTACCTGCTAGGCGAGGTTTAGGAGTACTTTTCCCGACCGGGAGTCGAACCCGGATCACCCGCAAGATTAGCGAGTTTTCTACCTTTGAACCACCGATGCACAATATGCAGCTCGGACATATTTTGTTGACAATAGGTTCTTGATTTTTCATTTATTTCACTGCTAATTAAGACGAAGAAATAATCATATTCGCTTGTGTGATTATTCTCACTAATGCAAATGGAAATAATATCTGAAGGGTAAATGAGAAAGTGATTGATAACCGGATTCAAAACGCTATATCAACAACTAGATGATATCTAGGCTAAGCAAGTATTCATCAATGCGATAGAGCATCATAGTGGTAGAAATTTTTTTATTTCCTTCACGTTTCCCAGTGGGACATAGGGCTTCAAGCCAGTGGCTTGAAGTTTCTGTAGCAGTGTTTATTTTTTTTACAGGATGGGGTCGCTAGCCTCATGCCCAACCTTCCCTCTTCACCAGCATTATTTCTGGCTTAGAGAGGTAAAGAGGTGTGTCGGCCGGGGATCGAACCCCGGACCATGTGCATGGTCGGCGAGCGTCCTAATCACTATGCCACCGACGCACAGTGATAGGAATACTAGTCAGAAAAATAAAGATTATTCGCTAATATCTGAAGATTGAACTCTTTCCCGATGATCTTTGTAGTTATTGGGTGCGCTGTTATTTTTTGTTTTTGAAAATGGTAAGAATTTGGAAAAGATTAACTTTTATTTTTTTTACTAACATTTATTCTGTATTCATCCACATGTTGGCTGTCATATGTTCACTTTGACCTTAGACTCTAATGAGAGAGACAGTTGGAAGATTCAGACAATAATTTCATTTAAATCTTAACACAATCTGTGTTCTATTTCGAGTAATAATTATCTTTTAGTACTTGTACAAATCTCCTACTGTGAATAAATGATAGTTTACAGAAGATATTTAGGCACACACGCGTAATGAATGTTCTTGTGTACTAAATCTTCCTTTGACCAACTATTTCCACTGTTTGGTTTTTCACATTTAGTCACTGCTTGACGAGTCTATGTTGTCATGGTATCCAGTTATCTATCAAGCGACACATGTTTTTCTTATGCAGAGTGGAGTATTTCGGTTCGTACGACTTTACGAGTGTTAGGCTTAACCACACACCTCTGTTTACTTTCCATATTATGCATTTCTTCTACTTTCTTCTCTTGCTTTGCGTGCTACATGGATTGTGGCGACTTGAACTGCCGCACATATGTGCAAAGTTCTATGTCGAAAACCGACCGACCGACCGAGGCTTAACCACTAAACATAGAAAATTCGCTAAGGTTATAGTTTTTGTTTTTAAATTTTAGGATGCCTTCATAAATTAACTGGAGTTAATCAGAGCAGCATAGTAAGGTGGTAATAATGAAATGAAACATGAAGTGTTAGATAGTGAGAGAAAGTCAATCGATGAGGTTGTGGAGGGAGACTGATTGATTATTTGGGTGGCTCGCATGTGTACTGCATGTAAGGAATTGTTTTTTAGCGTTTTATCTTTAATAATACACCACCTAACTTGCTGTCCTCACTAAATTGTTTTAATAATTTTTTCAATGTTTATTTTTCACTTACATTAGTTGTCAGTCTTACACCGGATAAATTACGTCAACAAGCCTCAGAAATACAACAATCTTTATTGGAAGAGTTGCCTGAAATGTGTTTACCTGCTCAATTAGTTATGGAACCAGAGGTTTGATTCATTGATTGTTTACCTGCGTCTGTATGTGTGCGTGTGTGTGTGGTGGTGCAATAACAATAACGACAACAATAATCACATCGTAATACATATATTCTAATACATACTGATTAACAATAATATTACATTCGAATATTGATTTCTGTGTCATTCACCTTTCACTTTCATTTATTCTCGGTGTGTGTGTGTGTGTGTTTGCCTATGTATGCTATTTCTACTGTCACTGATGTGAATCTCACTTCTAGGTAAGTAATGTCAATTAACACTTATAGTGTGGAACTTATTTTGTAAACTGTTCAACTCACTTCCCATCTCTCTCTCTCTGTTTCTCACTCGCTCGCTCGCTCTCCCTATCTATCTATCTCGCTAAACCACACCCACCTTTGCACTCACACACATATACACATTCTCTTCGTGTGGTAATCACTAATAATAATGAATAAGTTGTTCCAGTTGATTGATTTACTAACGAAATACTTTATTTTCATTTCAAACCTATTTTTAGTTGATTATTTAATTTTCTATAATATTATTGGATTAGTATTATAATTAGTAGTAGTAATAACAATAATAATATTGTACTCATTGTTTTCCCACTTCTCGACATCCTCCTCCTCACTATCATCAGTATCATTGTCATACATCAGTTTTTTTCTTTTCTGTAATCAATCACTGTTATTTGTGTACAAGTAACATCCAACACCAAAAACAACACGCACGCACATAGACACACAATAGTTTTGAGCATATTTTAACACTTAAACAATCAGTTCATTCAATTCTTCGGCTTTCATTAACACATCATCATCATTATCGGGGCTATCATTCATCTTTTCTTTGAATGGTGTATTCCTTGAAAATTTCACATCCGTGCGTACATATGTGCGTTTGCGAGGGTGGCGAGGGTGGTTTCGAGTCAAATTTCACACTGGATTGTTTCATATAAATTCTTTCTTTACTCTAATTCAATTGTAGTATTAGTAGTAGTAGTATTAGTAATAGTAGTATCTTTAGTAAGTTGCTCATTCCCGCCTTTGTTTTTCTTTTCTTCTCTTTTTTCTTATCACACACACACAAAAAAGGTGGAATTACCGAGTACATGAAGTCGTTTCTAATACCCCATATGTAGACCTACACACACATACTATATAAAAAACTGTTACTGTCATTAAACCACTTGTTCTTATTCACTTAGACCTGTGATGATGATAATAATAATGATAATGATGATAATTGTAAGCATAGTGAACTCTTCAGACTTGTATTACTCATATATACAATATTGACTTCATTCATTGTTTATATTTATATTTATACATATAAAGTATTATTAAAAAATACTACTAGTATTACTATTGATACTTAATTGCTAGTGAGTAGTATTCATTTTAGAGATTCATAGTTTTAATGATAATATTTGATTGAATTAAATTTAAAGAGTTTTCCAGTTGTTGTTGGTTTTTTTTTAAAAAAATAATTTTTTGTTCTCTTTTCTTCACTATTTGTCTTGGTTTCTGTTCTTGTTATGTACTTTTGTCACTTAATAATCATAATCATCATAATAATAATAAGTTTCTTTGTAATAAATTACATAATATCAATATAAATGTGATTAAATTAACTTGATAAAAAAATTATGGATTTTATTACTCTCTTTCTGTCTCTCTGTTGAGTTAATGAGGAGGGGGGGCGGGTAGGGCAGTTGATAATGACGAAGAAGTGTTGGGAGATAGGCTGCCAGTGGGGGGGAGGCGTGGAATTTCTTCTTTTGTGTCATATTTTTCATAGAATTTAGTTTAACATTGTACACTCGGCTGTGGCAGTCTTGTTTGTGTCTAAGGCTCTTAAGAGGAAGTGATGAAAGTTTAAAAATAATCTCACGTTGATTCATTAGTAGAAGCCAATTCTTTATTCAAAAAAGAGAATAAGTGAAACTCTGAGTTCTCTACCTTTTTATTTTTATCATTTTACTCCTTTACGCCCCAAGTGGAACATAGAATTTCAAGCTTCAGTCTTGAAGTTTCAGAAGCAGTGGTTTTACTTTTACCGTTTAGAGGGGGAGGGAGTGAAGGGTTGCTATCCTTCCTCCTTACTGGGCTTACTACCGGCTTGGTAAAGTTTAGGAGTGAGCATTGTTAAGAGCGCGTAATAAGTTCCACTGACAGTTTGTTGCTTCATTTCACTGATTGTGTGAGAGGTGAGATACTTCCCGTGCGCCCAGACCGAAGCAGGTGGTTCTCTTTAGGGACCACCCCCACCCGAGCCTTTGACTGGGAGTCTAAACCTCAGGGACTATGCCCCCGTGGTCGCCGATGACCAATACAGGTTCACACGACATTTGGTTCGACTGGATTCTGGAGCCCATGTACCCCATGGTAACTGCTTTTAGTCTAGCCGCTATCTTAACAACCTTCCTGCAGGAACATGAATCCGAGGCAGTTTAGCTTGCTGGGTCACTGTGGTATTCAATTCCAACCACCACGACAAGGTAGCAGTTGTCGGCCGTCCACGTGATGCGTGGTTGGTTGGCGAGTATTCTACCGCTGAACCACCGATGTGAATTCCTATGTAGGATTAAAATTATAAGATAAATAATTCAACATTAAAAATCTTCACAGAAATGGTTCAGTTGAAGTTGCTTTATATATAGATTTTTTAATAAATTGAAATAAACGAAAAAAGAACAAGCAGAAAGAAGTCGGATAAGTATATCAAGGCAATTTATTGTTAGACTGTATATCACAATTCCTGACGTCTTGAAGTAATAGGTAGGCTGTAAAATTTTCTTTAAAATGCTAGCCTGTATACTTCAGTTGCAGTGTGGTGTGTGCTACTTATGAGATTTATCAGTAGTGCATAAAGAGACATTCATCGGCATGAAAATATCAAATAGCGGAGAGATAGATTCGACGTCACAGAGACCAAATGATTCACCGTTGCGGCAAAACATGGGAGAAACGAACAGACAGAAACACAAGCGAAGGACAGAAGTAGCTCAACACGGAAGATCAGTGCAAATGATGATTTGGAGAAAAGATGTACATTATTTCGTTATATATTGATACTAAATTCTGTATAAACATTTCTTTACCAAATCTCTTGTCTTCTATTGTTACAGTTATGGTAATAGGCTGTAGGTGTGCTGTCCAAATGTACAACAGTTACGTTCATGATTCAGCTTTATTTTTCGCCTTTACCTACCTTGATATTTACATCAGGCTGGTGAGTCTTTGCTGACTGACCGACTGACTTTGTATAAAAGTGCAGCAGTTCAAGTTGCTACACTTCGTAAAGCACACAAAGGAAGGAAGGAAATCCAACGAACTACAATGAACGTCATGCTAACTTCTGCCCCCTTTTCTAATTTCCAGTTAGTCACCCCCTTCTAGACTACACCTTACATCACGTAATACGTTTTTAGGGACAAATTTTACCAGTATCTGATTGGTCGTCTTGTGAATTCTTTGTTAAATATAATTACGATTGTATAGCTTATGAAAATGGATTGTTGAAAAGAAAGTTTTCTTCGTTGTTTATGTCTTTTTCTTCAAACAGAAATGTTTCAGAGAAAGGATAGTCACATAGAGATTAAAGAGAATTTAATGAATCTTGGGTGCCTCGGTGGCATAGCGGTTAGGACGCTTGCCGACCATGCACATGGTCCGGGGTTCGATCCCCGGCCACTGGACGCACTCCTTTACCTCGCTAAGCCAGTAGTACGACTGTTAAAGAGGAAAGGTTGGGCATGAGGCTAGCAACCCCATCCTGTAAAAAATAAACACTGCTGCAGAAACTTCAAGCCACTAGCTTGAAGCCCTATGTTCCACTGGGGAACGTGAAGGATAAAAAAAATGAATCTTGGAGACTACAAGGGTTGAATCCATCTAGGCCATCAGGAACAATGTGAAGCCACATTGTCAGTTGCCTCTAGCTATTGGTTGTTGGGGTCTTGAAGACCCTAACAAGCCAGTCTACACCTCCACACGTGACTGGCTCACACTTGATGGATTGATATTATGTTTTCGTCTAACCGTTCCTTAATTGTCCTACAACTTAATCTGATGTCAACCAACACTGTCTGACGAGAGAAACGGCAGCTTCGCCTGCGTAGCGTGCAGCTTCACAACCTCATTGAACTACTTGACATCACCACCTAACACCCTATGCCTAACCTCAATATTACTGACAATATCGTTGCCACCTTGAACGTGAAGTATAACGAAAACACCTGTAGTCGTAAATGGCTAACCCCTTCATATCCCCACTTTTAACTGTCGTAAAAAAGAACTGGTGTGCACTATACACTTTGATCAACAGCTGGGTATTATATATATATATATATATATATATATATATGCATGCCACGCATGACATGAGATGGCAAATGTCACGTAAGCCTTCTGTATCTCTGCAGAGATTTCGTCAGCGATTAGTTCATTTGGGTTGATGTAATTCTGCAAATGAGAAACACGCTCAACCACTTATCCTCAGACTAGGACTTGATGCATACTAGTCCTGCACGAGTGAATCGTATGCAAGATACAGACTTCTGCTCGATGTGTTCATAAGTCAAGCCTATATCGATTAGGACCACATTCATTACTACATCAATGATTAAAATAAATGAAAAAGGAGATATTTGGTGTCCCCGGCGGGCACTAGACAACCCTACATAAGCTCTTACACGACAGCATGAGCGCCTTGAGCTGTGCAACATACTTTCTGAATATTTCATGCACCGTCAAACATTACAACAGTAGTTCTCGGTAGACAGTGTCGAATGTAGCCTGCAGATCAGGAGGCTTAGCAAGTGTTAGACTCTAGTAAGTATGCCTATGTTCCAGAATCTGTCGTTTGGCGAAGATAAAATCAGTCTATCCTTTTTTCTGACAGTAAGCCTGTCTGCTTTCCACAGATTTGTTGCCCCTGAACACATCTCAGTCTAGGCGTGGTAATTAAACGTAGAACTTTAGATACTATAGAAGTCCAGCCAATACTTTCATAACTATCACAATAATAATTGTCTCCCATTTTATAGACTGAGATATTCAATGATTTACACCAGTGCAACGGGACTACTTCTGATCAGCAGAGATTAACTAATATCTTGGTTTACCCAGACAACAGTTCATCACTACCATCTTTGAACACCTTTGGAGTCATAACATCATATCTCGCTGTTTTGTCAAGTTTTGCTATCACAGTTACATTTCAAAGACTGACTTCAACATCTAAGATAAGTGCTGGTGGTTGTTGATCAAATTTAAGATGGCTGTAAGCCAGTTGAACTGCTCATCAAAGTGTTCCAGTCACTTATCCTAAGAGTTCATCAAGGCACTGTTCTTCAATGGGGATCGGATTTGTACTATCCATTGTTTTCTTTCCCTGAGTCTAAATAGTTGTTAGTCCTCGCTTCAAGATACTCTGCAATTAATAAAGAATTTTTTTAGAAATTACCTAAGTTCATCCATCCAAAACGAGAGAATCAGGCAGGCTTTAGACCAGGAAGAGGGTGTATTGATCATATCTTCACCCTTCGACAGATTCTAGAACACAGGCATTCTTACCGGCGTCCAACAATCATTATATTTCTTGACCTAAAGGCGGCATTCGAGTCTGTCGACCGAGAGGTT